TGTCTCATGTAATCGCTCAATCAGTGTTTCAGCCGCGCAAAGACGTCAATATAACAGCTTGTAAACAATGTCACGTAACGTCACATTTACCCAAAAAAAACAAACATATTCGGTGACCATAACCTCATTGGTCAGCTAGAAAAATAAACTGTAGAGAGGGGCATGGTGCTAAATATATGCACCATATAACATCATTATATTTTTTTCTGTTCTTCAATGTTTAATTTGTTTGAATAAATCCATCAAATTTTATGACAGCCATCATTTAAATGTTTATAGCCTATTTAAAAAAAAAAAACGAATTGAAGTAGAAATATTATGTAATAACTTTATTATTTTAAAAACTTAAGTGTAATTTTAGCAGTTGTGTAGCCTACAAATCAGTTTTAACCTTCAATATTATAGTAATGTAGCTAGTACTAACTGACTCTCATGTATATTTTACAGAATTAGTTGAGAGATTTTTTTTTTTCCTTGAGAAAATTTGGCATGTAGCCTACTGTACCTGATATATATATCCAAAATAATCAATATTGAATCGAATCGAATCGAATTGGTAATCTAATCTAATCGCAAGCTTGTAAATGAGAATCGAATCGAATCGTGAAATTTGTCAAAACCCAGCCCTATTAAGAATGTAAGTGGTAAATCTATATATATATATATTTTTTTTGGTCTAGAAAAATAAAGAGTTTGTGAGCATAGCAAAAGGTGGATTTATGGGTAAGTTCTGTTTTCAGTTGCAAAATTAATAACACTTGATCACCTATGCATTATACTGTCTGACCAAATTTGAGACAAAATGCAATTAAATATAAATAATGAAATAAATGTAATGTATTCGGATACAAAAATAATGTGACCAACAGGTTTACACAGTGACAGCAGCAGTTAAATTGTGCTGATGAAACTGAAACTAATTTATTTTTCTTTAATGCTCAGCATTGCAGCAGCACCTGGCAGATATTAATGTTGAAGGGCCGGATAATGTTTATGTTCACTGGATTGTGAGCACCTCAGGATCCCACAGCAGCCTCAGCTCAGCTGACGTGAGTCCTTAGAGTGTGTGGTGTGTGTGTGTGTGTGTGTGTGTGTGTGTGTGTGTGTATGTGTGTGTGATGCACTTTACATGATGCATTGAAAGAGTACTACTCAGCATGTAGCCTTCAAACCATGCTTTTGTGGCCCATGTTCTCATCAATTTTCTCAATCCATTTTTAACAGAGGTTCTGTGGGTCTTAAAGCCTTAGTTTGTCCTTCCACAATTTAAAGGTCTATAAAGGTTTTAAATCGGGAGCAGAAAGTCTTAAATTCATAAGTTATTTTGCATGCATTGCAAAAAAAGGAATATCTTTCTCAGTATTTTTGCTTTCCAATGCAAATATCTAAACATCCTAAAATCAAGATACATTTACTTGAGATGCAAATGTAAAATGAAAAAAAGTAAAATAAAAAAACTGAAATTATTTCAGTTTATGCTTAACACAAAAACAAACGTCTTTCAATCGGGTATATGAAAACTTTACTTTTCTGTAAAATGAATTAAAAAGTAAAGGACATCGGTTGGAAATTGTATTTTTCTTAAACTTTGGGGTGTTGCTAATTCAACTCACTGTCCTCACTAGACATTTACATTTAGAGAACATATTGATGTGTTGTGTTCCCTTCAATTCATTCCTTAAATTTTCTTTACCTAAAAAGGTCTTAAAAAGTTGTGAAAGTCTTAAATTTACCTTCATAAAACACTGTTTTAAATGTATTTTTGGTACCTCTCTGAAGCTTTATCCACCTTATTTTTAATGTGAGAGCAGTGCCATTTTTATCTTGAACGTGCAAGGTGTCCTTTGTCGTTTGCTTACCAGTATTACTAATATTAAACACATTGGTTTGAAGCTCATTGGATTGTTGTACTTTATTCTTCTAGTTCTTTACCTATAGTGGATAATGAAGTCTGGCACATTCATAGGAAATATCTAATTTCAGCATTTGAAAAATAAGGTGGATACATGTAGCATATTTCTTACATTTTCTGGGTGGCGTGTAGTGCCATCTTGTGGACATTGTAAGTAAAGCAAGCCATTAAATGCTTCAACTTCCATTGAGATAAGCAAATACCTCTTTAGTTTTGGATTAATTAAATTCCAGAGTTAATTCAGCCCATCTCTTTTATTGATACAGGACAGCACAGATGGAAAAGGAGTTAAATCGCTTGTCAACAAAATGACCTTTGCACTCAAGTCAAAGTCAGTTAATGTAAAAGAGAAGGTGATCAGCTTCATTGAAAACACTTCCACGCCGGTGGACAGGTGAGCATCTTTAATTGTCTTTGCACAGGACAGACATTCTTTCACATTTTTTCTTTCCAGATATGTCTTCCATTAATTAAAAAAGAAAATTTGAGGGCTGTTTAATGTTCAGGGACCAGTTGCAAAAACTTTTTTGCCTCTAGACTGTCTCCGACACTGTTATTAAAAAAATTTTTATAAAAAAAAAAAAATGTGGTCGTTAAGTTTTGGTGTAAACTTTTGGTCACAATTGTTGTTCAAAAGCCTTTTTTTCTTTTTTTGGAACAAAAGTAGAAATGAAAAGAAAAAAGGTGACCATTTTCACCTTAAAAAAAAAAGAAGAATCCCATATACTAGATTCATATAGCTAGATATTTAGAAATACAGCATTGGTACACTCCATCATCTCATCTGTTTCTCTGTGTTTTTATTTAATGCTTTTCTTATTTCCTTCCCTCTTTTCAGATGAGATTGACGGCTCATCAATATCAGATGATGACAGGAAAGAGATTGTCAATATTCAGACTTGGATCAACAAACCAGATGCGAAGCACCATATTCCATGCAATGAAGTTAAGGAGACTGGACACATGTTCCCAAGGTGAAGCTACCTGTCTGAACATACAACATGGAATTAGCACTCCAAGAATTCCACTGAAAAAAAATAAAAAATTTAAATTAATAAAAAAAATTAACAAGTTATATTTTATGTTAGCCAGTGTAGTCAGTAAAATAATACTGTTGCATGTGAAAAACTGTTATGTTATGATGCTTCCGCCCATCAGATACTGGGTCATCCCAGCTGGTGGATGGTGGGTTGAGTATCCACCTTTTTCTTCAACACGGGAAGTAAGCCTATGGGCAAGACTTCCGGTTCATTAGCCGCTATAGGGAAATAACAACGAGCAGTAAACGGTAAAACTGTTTGCACTTTTAGCGTAATTAAGATAATACATTAAAATAATATGGTAAGACACACCAATTTTCAATATCAAGCAGCAAAACAAAGTGGTTTGTACAGCTAAAAATAGCTGGAAGCTAGACCCATAGAATTTACAGATGGCGGCGCCCATTTTTACGGGAAGAAAAAGATGGATAGTGGTGGGTAATTCTATTGTTTTATCTTCCACAGCCATTTGCTGATCACTGCAACACACATGTACTGTTTGAGAGAGATCGCTGCCCGAAAAGGTTTTGCTTACATCCAATCCAGGCAGGCCCTAAACTCTGTGGTGAAGATCACCTCCGTGTGTGTGTGTTCACGGTGTGTGTGTGCACTCTGGATGGGTTAAATGCAGAGCACTAATTCCTAGTATGGGTCACCATACTTGGCCACATGTCACGTCACTTTCACTTTAAAAAAAACTTTCACTAATGTAAAGCGTTACATTTCTATGGCAAATTGTATCATGTGCTTGTAATTTTTTGTTTTTTTCAGTGCACAAAAATATATTTAATAGTTTGTTAACTCTAAATCGCTAATAGCTTAACAGTACATACAGATATTTGTACTTTCGATTAAAAACTCAAAATTAAACTCATTGATTTTTCAGTTTTAAAATTATAATGCTTTACACTTCCTTCCTTTTTACTTATTTTACTTACTTATTTTAGTCTTATTTTAATTAACTTTATTCTGATATTTCTTGTTTTCTTTTCTGAAGGTATTTAATTCCAAATGCCGGTGACGCCACTAAAGTCATCAAACAGCAAATCATGAACGTTTTGGATGCTATGGAGAGCTCTTAATGACAGAGACATCAGAGATGCTGCACTCTGGTCATCCAGGAGACAACCACAGCTCCAACCAAAACCGCCTGAAGGGGAAGGAGGGAGTAGAGCATTCCCACACTGTTTTTCGTCATCCTCCTCCCTGGGCAACACTGACGTGGAGTTCTGTCATGACTCTTTGGGCACATTGCCATCATGATTGACAGGAGTTCTAAAACTTTGGGCTTGGAGATGTCAATATGAGAAATGGTTATTTTGTTCATTTTGCTTCGTGATTATGATTTCTGTTTTGAGAACCTGACCTAATTAAGCAAGTTCGATTTATTATCTCTCCTTTATCTGTCTCGAGCCTTAATGAGCTATAGCTTTTTATATGAGTCAAACTGCTCCTCTGGATGAGAATACAGTTGTGGAACCTCAATCAAGGAACTTCATTGCTCTTTATCTGCTTCAGTGTTTGAAGTCACTAATTTTTTAGCCATTTGAAGATGTAAACATCATATATTGCTGCATACTTATGTAACTGAGAAGGGTTTGATGTATTTATCAGAGCAGTGTTTTTACAGCAAACAGATTCACCAGGAACCTCATCACAGGCATTGAGGTGAATAACTATACTTCATTTTCATATTTGGAAAGTATGCTACCCTACAGGATGCTGCTTGTACAAGTGGTTACACCAGTGTGACACATGAATACTTCCATACAACTCTGCTTCCATACACCTCTGTGCTGATTGACTAAAACTCCCTGAAATGATTAGAACCTTTTGTCAGTTTCTGGTTCCATAAAATTGTTTTGTGATCGCAGCTTTCAAGATTAAAGGGAACTTGTTTGTGAGACAGTTAAAAGTTAAATGGGTCTTCTCAAAGCCAATGGCCAAGTTTACCAGATAATGTATTGAGAACCTGAAGTTTAGGATGCCTACCAGCTTCTATTGGAAATAGCTATTGAGTAATACAAGTATTAAGGTTGAAGCACTAAAGAAAAAATGGCTTGTGAAATCCAGTAGCCATCAAAACTATATGTATACACAAGTCAAGTGAATGTAAGGAAAACTAAAGGTAACGTTAAGATTAAGGGAGGGTGATACATAACATTTTTTAAACTAGTCCTGTCAGTTTGTCACACTATGCAAGTTCTAAAAATTAAATTTTAAAGTCTTAAAAGAGAATAAGATTTCCTTACGTCCCGGACATGAAAGGATATTCAGAGGATCATGTTCCCAATGCTCAACTTTTTAACCATTGTTTATTGTCTGTTAAACCACAGAATGCTATTGATAATATCTCCTATTGAAATAAATCAAAATGAGGTCCGGTCCACCATATCTGACTATTGTTAAAATAAAATGATTGTTTTTGTATAACAATACAATCAATGTATTTGTCAATATTTGTTTTATTTTGTTTATATCAAAAGTACACTGCAAAATATTTACAATAATTCCTTAATAGTTTGATAAAGAATGGTTTACTCAGTTGTCACATGAAAGCGTAATAAAAAATCTGTACAATATTGCCACAACAGGCTAATAACTATCAAGTGAAGTGGAAATTTGTTTTAAAAAATACTGAAGCCACATTACATTGCCAATGTATAAACACATTGGCCAATGTATCTATGTAAGTCACTTTTATACTTTTAGAGGCCAGTAAACCGCATGTCTATGGATTACCACAACTGTCAGAAGCATTCAATACTTACACACTGCAATGCATTAGTATCAAGAGTGTTTGCAACAAATAAAAGATACAAAGAAGGGTTTACAGTATTACATAAAGGCTACATGACAACATCAGTCTTACACCATGGATGAATAACACTTTCTGTGAGAATAAAGAAACGAACCATGTGCGATTTGAAATACATACAATCAAAGCTGACATACGTCAACATTAAAAAAAAAAAAGACATTGTTCAACCGTAAGGAATGACCGTCACAAAGAATACAATTAACACTAAAGCTCCTGCTGGGAGGAAAAGGAAAACAAACAAAAAAACAGAAATATACCTTTGGCCATGTAACAAAAAAGAAACCCCAAAAGTTCAGTGTGTATTTTGCAAGTAGTAACAATATGTTAGCATTTCTTAAGTGCTTTGTCTCAAGAAACAGTAAGAACGACAATTTAGCAAAGCACCATTTCCCCTCAGCTACAGCTGTTTGCGTTCAATAAAGGGGCTTGAAATGACAACCAGAGCTAAATCCACCAGAAGAAAAATGAAACCATAAAGGACTTTAAGTGCATTTTATCTGCCCATTTAAGTTTAAGTGAACTAGACTATGAGGCTCACAGTTTTTTTTAATCATCACTTGCAGAGGAAAACTGTGAAACGATCTGGACCAACACCAAGTGTGTTAATATAAAACAGCGCATTAGTGTGTGTGCAGTAAATGTGCACTGTTGACATTGTATGTATGTGTATTATTGTGAACTGTGATGCACTGTGATTCATTCTCCCTCCTCCTTGATACGCTGTTGCTTGTTGCGGCGAGAATCTGGAGCCAGGTCAAAAGAGAAATCGGTCCAGTCGTCTCGTGGAGGAAATGAAATGGTCTGACGAAGAGTGAAACGCACTGCATCGATCACACGTTCGCCTCTGGCTTCGGTAGAGCCCACGCTGACGGTGGATGTCCCGCTAGAGGTGCGCAAGATGTGGGGAGGTGGAGAAAACTCCATGGTCTGTCGATACTCCATGATTCCTTTCCAGATGATGTGCTGGAATTCTGTGGGAATCTTCAGCCTGGACAAGTCCTGTGGATAGATATACCACAGAGCTCATGAATACAGTAGCCACTGCTCTGATCTCTCCGTCAACCCAGACACACTAGATCGCATATTTTGATATGGATCTCTTGCAGTGAATGGGTGCCGTCAGAATGAGAGTTAAAAATGTTGATTCAAAACATCACAGTAAGCCAAAAATTATCCACACAACTCGCTGACGAAATAAGGTTTTGTGAAGTGAAAAGCTGCTTGTTTGTAAAAAAAAAAAAAAAAAAATCCATCAAGATGTTTGAACTTTAACAAAATGAGTCCAATGAAAACATCTATCCCCTGTTGTCCTCTCAAAATACAGCAAAATATTTGTTTGGAACCATATTCATCTGTTTTAGACAGTGCATGATCTTTGCATATTTCTCTTTTTTTCTCTCTGTATGTACTGCAATAATATGGATAGAGGTTTAAAGTTAAAACGTCTTGATGGATTTATTACAAACATGCAGCTTTTCAGATTACAAGATGTTAATTGAGTAGTGTTGTGGACTATTGTGATGTTTTTATCAGCTGTATTGAACTCCCATTCTGACGGCACCCATTCACTGCAGAGGATCCATTTGGTGAGCAAGTTGCTAAATTTCTCAAAATCAGTTGCGATAAAGAAGAAAAACCTCATATACATCTTGGATGGCATGAGGGTGAGTAAATTTTCAGCTAATTCTAA